TTTTTGCAAGGGGGGGGGGGAAGCAAAGACGAATAAATAAGTAATAGACATTTCAGGAAACAAACCAAAGTGGAATTCACTAGTGCTGAGCATTCAAGAGAACCGACAACAGGAAATCAAGTTCCATATTACGTAGAAAGACAACTCTGTCAGATGTTTTATCCAGGGTCCTCAGTCAGGCTTGGGCAGGTGTGTCTTAGTTATTTGTTATGTTTCTACCTTTACTTTTATCTCTTGCCTTTACTGCAGTGAACCCAAGAATAGCAATATATTTTTTTGCAAGGGTGGGAAAGCAAAGAAGAATAAAAAAGTAATAGATATTTCAGGAAACAAACCAAAGTGAAATTCACTAGTGCTGAACATTCAAGAGAACAGACAACAGGAAATCAAAATGACAGAACAGGATAAAAGAGTGGTACAGGTGAGAAACAGGTTACTTCTATAGTGGATAACACTGTATATAAAAGAAAAGACATGCCCATCAATACCACTGAACACGCCACTATTTAGATACACGTGAGAGGCATGGAGTAATTAAGCACCTGCATTTCCTGCTTTCAGGGTTTACTTGGTGACAACTGGTATCCCTTTCAACTCCACAGTTCTTCCATGTATGTGAGTCTATGATACTATGATCTACCAGAAATATCAAGTTCCATATTACATTCCCTAGGTTTCTGGGAGATTAGCTAGGTGCTAATCCATGGAAAGGAAGAGTTTGCATAAGCAAAAGATAAGGAGAAAGAGGAATACTTTTTTTTTTTGCAGTAGCTGTTGAAATTATAGTTGTAAAAAATCTTAAATTTCTGGAAAGAAATTTCAGTCAAAAATAAGATATTTATAATATCTTTTTCAACGAATTAATCTACATGTATTTGTCTTGTTATACCAAAAATCTGGCAGCTTAAAAAATGAGTACATTTCTGATTTGCCCTGCATTGTCATATTTCTGTAGTTTCCAAGCAAAAGGTTGGGCGAGAGAATGGAAAAATGGAAAGGAATCTACCAGATTTCACTGATGTCATCCCTTTGATCACTCCTTGGATCACTGGTACTACAGAGACAGATAATTTCTGACCTGGAATCACAATCTAATTCTTAGACATCAGAGAAACAAATCTATGATAATAGCAATAACTATGGATTTTTTTCAAACCTTGGGTACCAAACCCTGTGACTACTGCCATTTAAAAACATATTTTTCCTGACATAAAAACATATTCAAAATGAATAAATTTTAACAATAGCACAATGAAAGTCAAAGCTTAATTTCTTCCCTCCTTTGCGTTGACTACGATCCTTGAACTCTGAGAACACACCAATTTTTGGTTTTATAGATCCCCACTCATAACGCAATGTTTCCCCTGAAGCCCAGCAATCCATGTGTATGATTGTTAAAACAATGACTTCAAACCAAACAAATAGCTTTATGATCTTTTAAAAAAGGATTGGTCACCTAACAGTTACGATTATGCCTTATGCTCAAAGCATTAACCGTGAAAGCTGTATCTAATAAAACAGAATGCTTTTTAAGAAAGTATTTATCTAGGTTTTCTCATATATCCTTTTACTCATCCCTGAAATTAGAAAGCAGAAGCAATTAGATGAAGCATCATGGCTGTTAGCCAGAATAGAATGAACACTCCATTAGCTTTGAAATACAGTCCTTTTTGCCAGAATCATTAGGAAGGTAAGTAACATATGCCGTAGAAGAATAAAAGATAGCTTTTTAACTTGCACTCTTCCCAAAATGTTCCATGTTTCTCCCTCAATTATTTCTTCATAATCTGAGGTTACTTGGCTGAAAATAAATAGATTGAAACAATACAGTAACATCCTTATAAAAGAAGTGTAAAGTAGGAAATTAACAAGGACCTAAAGTGATACCCTTTCATCTCATACTGTATATATATATTTCCTGTTGACCACCCATGAAGAGTTACAGCAATCTCTACATATTAACAAAGCAATCCATAAACCTACATATCAGCATGCAGTTGCCAATGAGCAAGGTAAGTAACATATGCCATAGAAGAATAAAAGATAGCTTTTTAACTTGCACTCTTCCCAAAATGTTCCATGTTTCTCCCTCAATTATTTCTTCATAATCTGAGGTTACTTGGCTGAAAATAAATAGATTGAAACAATACAGTAACATCCTTATAAAAGAAGTGTAAAGTAGGAAATTAACAAGGACCTAAAGTGATGCCCTTTCATCTGAAGATGAAAGGGTATCACTTTTCCTGTTGACCACCCATGAAGAGTTCCAGCAATCTCTACATGTTAACAAAGCAATCCATAAACCTATAAATCAGCATGCAGTTGCCAATGAGCGGTGTCATTGCTGCTACTGGAAGAACGTGAGCTCCCAGATTTGGCATCTTGCCTCACAGTTACTGGACAAAGAGGTCTCCAAATGAATGCTGTGAGATTACTTTGTCCAAACTTGAAATTCTTAGGAGAGATCAGAAAGTTCTTGCATGATGCTCAGGAGCCAGGTTTACATAAATGCTGCCTCTTGCATGCTGGAGGAGAAGCTTCTCACATCCACTTTAGAGGAGGTCTCTTTCCCCAGAGGCAACTATGACTGCCACGTATCCTGCTACCAGGCTCCACCACAAGGTAAGTTGGAGATGATCTTATAAAGCAGCTTTGAAAAGTATACAAAGTGTTGTCATACAGGGAGGAGAAGAATTCAAAAACACTTCCATCTTAATTTTCTGAATTCAAGTGTAACTAAGTTATTTCTATAGACACTCCCATAGTCTATCATCACTTGGGGGGTTACTTAGCTACTATATTTGTGTTCTTAAATTGTTTATTGTTATTTGTTGTTGTTTAGATTATTGTTTTTATGTGTAAACTGCTTAGTGTTGGCCACTAAGTCAGCAGTATAGGAATACACAAACGGCTGACAGATAGACAGACAGAGAGATAAACTTACCTCACAGAAGTAAGCACACTGTTGTTCAGTTTCAGTCGTTTTAGATTTGGAAGGCAAGTACCTGTAGGATCAAGAAAAAAAGCAAAAAAATTCCAGGCTGATAAATTAGTGCATGTGTCAGCCCCCACTCCACCTCTAAAAGACTTTAATCCTACAGCTTCTACATTTGTTCTCTATCACATAATTTCTACTGCAATATATTTTCTCTGATTTATACCATATGAAGAAGTGGTACGATAAGAAGGCTTGGCTGGAAGTAATCACATAAAGCCTGGCTGTCTTTGAAACTACTGCTAGCTGACATTTTAAAGCGCCTCATAACCAATATCTGTTTGTCTTAGGATATCCCCTACCCTACCCAAAAAAAGTTGAAAGAGAATTGTTATTTGTCATGCACACACACAGTTCATTTCTGTCACTAGTCAAACAGCTTTTACATTGTATTTTATATTATATTATATTGTAGTATATTGTATATTGTTTCAGAAAACTGCCTAGAAACAGGGCAATGTTAATAAACCATGGAAAGCAACACCATGTTCAGCACTCTTAAGGGGCAACCATACTGGCCACTTATCCTGCAATGAAGGTTGGATGGGGCACAGATGAATTCAAATTAAAGTCTAGTGACTACACAACATAAAGTTCAATGCAGGACATTCACTGTGGAATTGTTGCTTTTGAGTGGGGAATCATCTTTTCTTTTTCAGCCAGCAGGGGTGCTTTACATTTGTTCCTATTTGTGTGGTATCGCTTTTGCACACTTTCTGCCAATGTGATCACCTGATCAAACCAAAGGGATTCTCATGAGGGTGATTTTTCCTCTCAGTTGAGCTCCCCTTGCCTCCAAGCAGTTTCGTTTCTTTTCTTTTCTTAAAAAAAGGTTTCTACTAAGTGCTGGAACACAGCAGAACAATTAAGGAGGTAGAAATTGCCAATCAGCACTTTTTAGCACCTTAAGGCAGATTCTGCTGTTGAAGACCAGTGTAAACTGAGCTTTCTACCTCTGCCCCTGCTGACTCCTTCAACTTGTCATCTGGACAGCTACAGCTATTTCATCCAGAGAAACCTGATTGCCATGAATGTGAACCACAGTGGATCAAACAGTATTTTCTTTGCTGTGTAACTTCACTCTTAAACCACGGTTCATGTCCATTGTATTGTTGGAAAATACAATCTTTCATACTTCTCCTTTAACCCTGGGTATCCATGGGGAGCATGCTCAGTGCCTTCTAGTGAATTAGATTTTTCTTCCACACCTCAATGACCTTGAAATTGCCTCTAGCTGGTGCTTTCTTTGTTAGCCATCATTCCATCCCTCCATATTTTCTGCTCTCTGGAGATAAAACATGTGGGGGTCCCTTGCTAATAACTCTATAGGCTCCAGCTCAGCTTCTTCACTCAGAACAGCTTTTATTAATAGTACAGCATCACTTCCACCTACTTTCCCCCCATAGTTTCACAGGGCTGAATTATAGTCTCGAAACTAGAGAGGCATGAATCTGCGTCATTAGATTACGCTGGATGACTGTACCGGCACCATAGGTGCCGCATGGTCCCGCCCCCAATGCCACAGCTGGATTCTTCCACTCACCAGCTGGTGTGTGCTCTGATCCTCCTCATCTTCAGTCATTTCATCAGTTGTAGCAGGAGCACAAATTTCCCTTCTTCACCTCCTCCAATAGCTGCTCACTGAAATGCAGCACTGAAGCAATCCCTGCCCCACCTCCTTTTCTGAGTGGGCAGCTGCTGGAGAAGACAAAGAAGGGAAGTCCATGTTCCTGATGTGACTGCTGAGTTGACTGAAGAGGAGGAGGAGAGGACTTTACAGCATTCTCCTCTCTTGCATCCTCCCACAAATCCATCAGAGATAGGCTACAACTCTCTGTCTTCCTAGTCCAGCTCTTTTATTCTCCTTGCCCCTGCCTCCCCCAGCTGTTTCTCACCAGGGAACTGTCTTTCCTTCAGCTGCATGGACTCCCTCTCATTGGCTTGATACGGAAAAAATTACCTTCCTCCTGGCTGCCTGATACTTGAGTTCTGGGGCTGAATGTCTCATTTGGTGTGCACACCAATGGGCCCTCACATTAATAAACTAAAATATTCTGACTGATTGATCTCTGTCCTCCTACATGGGACTTCAGAGTGCAGAGAGAATGTAGTGTATTTGACTAGATGGGGCAAAGAAGAGGTGGCACCAGACCAAATATGTACTTTCTTTCCCCAAACAGTTCTCCTGCTTTACAAATGCGGACAACTTTATTAGACATCTTAATTGCAGAAAGGTTGCAGAATTATATTCCCCTTATTTTTAAAGTAGCAATGGGTTGTACCAACAATGACCTTCTACCAATGGAACGGATACCATTGACTGATGGAGACCTGCAGCCCCTCATGTGTACATCAGATCTGCTCTGGAAATCATGCTGGGGCTAAAGGAAGGAGGAAGGGAAGGGAAACTTCCAGTGTCCAAATGGAGGTTGATTGTGTGGTGTTAGACTTAGCATGAACTCGGCTTCATGTTTTCAAAACTAAGCATCTTCTTCAGAATTACTGCTTTAATTAATACGAAAATGTCTACAAACATGCAATCAATAAAGTGGCACAACATGCAATCGCAAATGCTTTCTAATACAAGCTGTGTCTTAGACATGGGCTTATATAAACCCTGCATAAAAATGACCACCACAGACAACAATAAGAAACAGCTTATACAAAAGTGAAGTTAACTGAACTAGTCAGAAATTGATCAGTGAGTCAGAAGATGTGATCCTTGGGGAATATTGGTTACTCTTTCTAGATAGCAGAGTATGAAGCACAAAAACAGCACAAAGGAAAAAAAAGTGGAGAGATCAGCTCAGTCTCATTACTTCCCGCTCAGAGTGGTCGTATAGACCAGATGGGCGGGATACAAATCAAATCAAATAAATAAATAAATAAAATTCCCCCTTTTTGGTATCCCCATGCAAACTAGCACTTCGCTATGATAACTCTCGAAGCATTTGAAGTAGAAAAGGGTATCTTTACTTACAGTTACAATCTGTAGAATAAAAAAAGGAAGAAGGAAAAATGGAGTCTCCACCATATGGAAGAGACACTTGTGCTTCAAGCTTGTTCAGGGGTCATGGAAAGAAGAAAGAGTATCAATAACATTGACAATGCCAGCAAGCAGGCTAGCAAACAGGAAGAAGGGGCGGGGACTTGCCTCAAATGTCAGAGGCAGGGGAAAAACTTTATCAATAGGCTAGTGGCAGAGGACAATCACTATAGCTTGTACTGTAAAAGCCTCCTCCAACTGATACCCAGTGTTAAACTATGCAAGATTTTAATTTTTCCAAGAGTGTTTTCTACAGAGGAAGCTTCCAACAATGCAAGAACAAAATGACTGTCTTCCCTGCTTCTTGCTCCCCTTACATATGATTGGAATAAAACTAATGTAGAATACAGTATATACAAATGGGTCTGCAATGAAAATACAGTATTGCAGTGTGGAGTGCTCCTGTTCAGAGTACTCTGTTATGTTTCTCCTTCCAACTTTTTTTTTGTTTTCCCCACCTCCGGCAGTCAATCTAAATATTATTTTATTTTCAAAGTGCACTATTTTCAAAATAACTGTTTTAAAACATTTAAAAAATTGAAAATACAGTAATCAGAGACAGGATTTTAGTAAGTCACAACTAGAATGGATCTACTGAATTGGAGAATGTGGTGACTCAACACCTATGTAAGTTCTATTGATTCAGAGGCTTACACTAGTTGTAACTTACTACTGGATTTTGGCAAATGGTTCTAGAAAACTGAAATCACTGCCTTCTATAAGAAGGGTCTGCAACACCATGTTGCTGTGTGAAATTCTCCTGTTTCATTATTCTGTCCAGTCCATTCAATTCTCCATACCCTCTTGGATCCCAGTTTTCCATTCTTTTCCTCTCAACAGTCAGCATTCAATCAACACTAAATGTACTCAGTTCGCTGGCTGATTTCGGGGTCACATTCCATCCTGGATTTTTTTTTAAATGTACTTCTGCTATACTCTAAATGTACTTCTGCTAGACTCCCAAAGTCTGCCGATACTCCTTATTGTGGGTAAATGACATTTTTGCTATATAAGTGCAAGCACTCTCCATAATGCAATATGTGTATGCAAGTCCCTAGAAAATCAGTTTTTGTTGAAAAAGTTTGCTTTTGTTAGAAAGTTTACCACTGGGAATGCTTAAGCAGGAATCCCACACCAAAACCGCTCTTTATTACTATGCATCTCATCCAACCCTGTTTGTAGTCCATATTAATGCGGAGAATTTATGTTGAAGAAATTCATATAACAGTTTAAGCAATTTAAGATCATACAAGCTAGCAAAAATAGCAACTCTCCTCTCCTCTCTCTATGAAATGATCTTAATCAGTTTTCAAGTTTGGGTAAATAACTTATCCACTACCTATGGTGCAGCATTAACAGTAAAAAGGCGTCCCTTATTTGTGCTTATTTATATCCAAGGATGTAAATTAGCACAAATAAGGGATGTGTTTTTACTGTTAATGCTGCACCATAGCATTATTATTTGCTTATTTACATCCAAGGATGTAAATTACCCTTAGTACAATGCAGGGCGAATCTGTTCTGACAATTGAGATAAAATATTTTCCTTTGAAGGTATTTTTAACAAAGGCTATTTTCGTTTTGTCAGAAAATGTTTAGGATCACTTTGTCATGAAACTGCTCCCTCACTCAAGCAAAGAAAGCAGCCCCAGACTTACGATGCATTTAATGCATCTGCCAGAAGGCAAAAATCTAATTGTGGTTCCTACAAAAAAAGAACCAGAGAACACTATGGATAACTTCACCAACATTTTTTTTTCACCCTGGAGTTTCTTCAGTGTGCTTTGAATGTTTCTCCTCGAATGAGAAGCAATCAGAAATGATTATTTTAAACCGCAGATAGGAAATTGTTCTATCTGGGGACTTTTCACATCTTTCATATTTTTTTACTCCCAAATAACAAAAGATTAAGATGGCTAGAATCAAAATCAAATATTTTCTCACCAAAGTTTCCCAAGCTGTTTTCTCTTGTGTCTACACGCATTTCTAGGGCCTTTACTTGATGCAAATCATCTAGTCCTGTCAGTGTTTTCTGCAACAATAAGAAAAAGATAAATAAGAAACCTACCCTTTACTGCAGTATTTGTGAAGAAGCTTTTATTTTCCTAGTAACTTGTCCCCATTCAGTGGATTCCCAAAAAGTCCAACACATGATTTTGAATTCCAGTTTCTTGATTAAGTCGCCATACAGCAGACAATGACAGCCTGAATTTTAAAGCAGAGCAGTAGTTATATTTGTAGCAACATCAAACAGATTTTAAAGAAACAGGTTTGAGATAGCCATGCTGCTTAAGAAAACATTTCCCTGTGTGGGTAGTGCTCAAATTGAGGTGCATTAGAAGAGAGATGCAGCCCTCCAGACACTGATGAAAGTGCAGCTCCCAACGTCCCTATGCTGATGCAGGCTAATGAGAAAGAACATACTTTCCCCACTCCCTACATTAGAAATTACTTAATCCTTTGAGACCAGGGTTTCCAGCCTTCTGGGACATAAGAGGTTGCATAAGAGTAGCCAATACCTAAAGAGGGCTACGTCTTAAATAAAAATGTAACAAGATTATTAACTTACCAATATAAAGCAAAAGAAAACATTCAGAGGTCAAAGAAGAAATGTTGAATGCAATCCATTTTGGAATAATACTGTATTTTACAGTGGAATCCTTTTATATAGCTACACATACTTACCTAGTGAGTGTAATTTTTGTGGCTATTTTCCGTTAACCAAAGCATTAATGTCCAAGTCAAGATTTGTGACAGACACCCTTAAAATGTCATGTAAATGTCATTTAAATGTCATATAAATGCCATCTGTAACTCTTGACCTATATTCGAATTTCCCAATTTTCATCTTTGAAAAAGTTTGTTCACAGATGTTTGTGGTGCCAAAGACTGTGAAGAAAGTCTGTGGATCCAGAGATTGGGAATTTGATTACCCAGTGTTTCACCCTGATATGGGCTGGTCTTGATGATCTATAGGGTCACTTCCAGTTCTGCATGTCTAATACAGTATAAGCTAAGATTAAAAAGTTATCTAACAGTCAACTATTTGGGATCATGATTGACAGGGTCTAATGTTCAGATTGCCCCAAAAGTGGAGCTGATTTCCCCTTTGAAAGCTTATGTTATGAGACTTTATGACTTCAGAAATCTTGAGAGAATATTTAAGGAAGAAACATGGCGAAATATATCCCTTTCTGGAGGACTGTCACTCTATTACTTTCTTTAAAGAAAGCCTGTATTTTCAGTCTGTTTCCATGAGTTTTCTCTCTAAATAACTCCCTCTTGCCCCCTTCTATGAATATATATAATGTTTTAGTCCATGAAGCACCTCCTGCCTAGCCTGTACCACACAAGTGTTATAACACAATGGCTGTTTTTCCTTTTTGAAAGACCGTTTTTGAGCCTCAATATTTCAGCTCCTGCAGCCCAGATTATTCCCAAATTTAAAAAAAAATGGGTGGGGCCAACTATTCTCTTTCAAGATCAGCAAGACTGGCCTTTTCAATTTATGTGTTCTGTTTTAAACCTGGGGATTTATAGCATTGCCTATTTCTGAATGGGAGGGAGTTTTACTTTTAAAAAATAACAACTCAAAACCTCTTTGACAAACCTCCCAAAATTTGGCACAGAACAAGAGCAGACTGTCTGCTACAACTGTGCCAAACATGGTGCTGGTCTGAAGCCTGGTTAATAAGTTAGAAATCTGGGGTGACTGTTCCCATTTTCAAAATCGCCTTATAGAATGTTGGTTTGCTCTGCCAGTACAAGATCATCATTGAACTCTTGTGTAGCAATAATATTTGGCCTTCATAAATAAAAAGAATTACTCTGACAGATGGAAACCACTGGAGCAGTTAGCTCTTTTCCATGATTCTTTGCTATGCCAAATTGAATAGTCTTTGTTGTTTTTGTGAAGAGGCGGCATTACATGGTGCAAAAAATAAGTCCTATTCCACCTGAGTTTCCTTCACATTAATGGGATCAACAGTTGTTTCCACAGTCAGGAAATCCAAGTTAACAGAAGTGAGGCTTTGAGGACTGATTCACTATGAAACAGCACACCCCTGAGCTTGATATATGTTGCATATCCAAGGCAGCACTAAATAACCCAAAAATATTCAACAATTTAGTCATCACAGTATTCAGGGCAGCTGTGTCTTTGTTCCCTAATTTGCAAGGATTCTTCAACTACTTTCTTGACTGTTTAAAAAAAAAACAGGGAGGAGCTAGTGTCTTTTTTAACAGAATAAATTTTCCACTCATGAACTGAGGAGCACAACTACACTGTGTCTTGATTTGTCATTCCTGGTCTCAGAAGCTGCTACTCTGCATACGTAAAAATCATTGTTCTGCTGTTAAACCAAAGTTGTTAAACAGCGTCGTTACCTCATAAATTAAGAAAGGAAACTGAGCTCTGGTGAGAGGAAATACCATAAATTCAGAGCCATAATTACCAAACAAATCTATGAAAAAATCTGCTAGATGTTACGTTGTGCACAGCTGGAAACTAGAATAGGACTTTTAGTTGATCTCAAAAAACCTTTCACATTACATGAAAATTCTGTGATTCTTATTTGAGACTTTTTCTCAATGAAATCAAGGACCAGCACAGGGGAAGAGATCTTCATCCTTTCCCTGATGCGATTTTTTTTCTGTTGACATTTGACTCTGAAGGTTTTACTGCAGGGAGGGAATAGAGAGGTACTTGTTCCTGCACACATAGTTGGGATAAGATCAGCAAGAGAGAAGAAGACAATTTTTTCAGTGGAAGATTATAATGGGGAAAGATTTAAGAAGACTGTCCTGGGAAGCCTCATGCCCATCTTTCTCCGAGGTAGCATGTGTAAAAATCCCAAATAGGACTCCTGGAATTAACACCAGACTCTTTGCAGATGTAAGTGTTGCAGCCTGATAGATACAGCAGTGCCATAATTATGTGCCACCAAGTCCACAGTACAACAGACTGAAAACAGCCAGTTGTTTCAAAGAGGTGAAAGTGGTTCAGAAACACTTTCTCTTCCTGCAACATACACACATTTCTTTATTCCTGCTATTTGCTCTGATGAACCAAGTCTTTGAAACAATGCACAAATCTACTTATTATCCCTTGAAGTGGCAAATGTGAACATAGCATGAGCAGCAATCTTTCATGTCACCTTTGGTTCTGCAAAAATTCTTTCCATTTGTGTTTTCCCATGCATTACAAAAGAGACAGTGTAGAACTGTGTAACGGATGGAAATGTCAAATGTTATTTTGGTAGCACCATGTCACACACCAAAGTAAGTAACTAATGCTAAAGTTTACAAAAAGCATCATGATCGCTAGATATTTTTCTTTAAGTAAATAAACAATTAACGGACCAAAAACACTTCCAGTGATGAGTACCATCTCATTTTCCTGACTGTGATATACAAGTTGAAGCCTGAATAATTCACTGCATTAACCAGTGATTTACAGTTTCTTCTCAGCCTCACACTTCCTGCTTTTTTATCAGTCTAGTACTGTCAAAGCAAAGCCTGACCTGATCAAACATATAAAAAATGTCTCTCTGGGCTCTGACATTCATCTCTTGAATGATTCTGGTAAGAGAACATAAATGTGCTTTCAAACAATCTCTCCAGTAATAAATCTTCATAATAGGTTAGAAGGAAATAAATCAATAACACAACCATTAGTGATCTATAATCAATATCAGTAAAACAAGGAGTTAGTTGTTTTGCAGAACAAAGGAAGTTTTTCTTTCTTTCCCAAGGACAAGGCATTTGCACAGAATTATGAAGATATATGTAATCTGTGCTAAAACTCCAAGAATAACCTGCCTACACGTGTAGCAATCATATATACATTTCCAGGTCCAAATGCACACTGTCAGTCCTGTGTAAAACCTGGGAAATGTTGCAACTTCTTAGCAACAGCTTTCCTATAAAGTTAACTGTTAGTCAATCTCACATCTGCAAGCAGATGGCAAAGGCCTGCACTGAATTGTCAAGTTATATTTGATTCCACTGAAATGCTGGATTATTTTCTAGTTGTTGGATAAACATCCCAGCCAATAATTAATACAGGAAAGTCAGCAAATTATTCTACCACACATCAGATATAAACGATGGTATACCAACAGTGTTGTACATCTGCATATCTACAACATAACTCCATGCATATGTCTCCTGCATTAACTATGTTAAATTTAATAGTACCTACATCCAGTTAACTGTGTAGCACAGGTGGAAAATTCTTGCTTTCCAGATATTTTACTCTAAAATTCCCATTAGCCCTAGACAGTATAGCAAATGCTCAAGAGCTGTGGGACTTGTATCTGAAACATATGTCAAGCCAAAGGTTACCCATCACTGGAAGTATAGGACTGTAGCCCAAACTATATTTCATGCTATCAGCCAAAATGAAATACTAAAAAAACCTCTTCAAACCATACAGATGTCCAAAAGGATATAGCAGAAGTAAGGCTACACCTCTGAATACAGGGTAACATCCTTATTCCCTCAACCCTCCCCTTTGACAAACATGTTACTCAATTTAATCATCATTTTGTGTTACATACGAAAGAACTGTTACATCCTAGCACCACCAAAATAGAGCAGCTCCCTAAGCAAGACCTGTTCAGAGTTTCTGCTAAAAACCCCAAAAGCGACCTGTATAACCCAAAATATGCAGGTAGGTAGAAAACACATGTACAGCCAGGGTAAAGGATGTAGGGTAAAGGAGAGATGAAATTTACATCCCATTGGACTAGTAAAGCTGTACATAGTCTGCCTGAGAAAACAGCACTCGGAGAATGCTATCATTGCTAAAATGAACTTTGACTACAGACACGTTCCTCCTTTCTCTGATACACTTCTGGTTCAAACCAATGCTTAACAAAGACAAGCTGGGGTGAACCACCTAGAAGATAGTATTTCCAAAATTCCTATCCTTTTTTGCAGTTCACCTTTCTTCTTTATCTTTCAAAGGAAACAGAATAAATGTAATAGTGATGGAATTATTAATATGTTTTAAAATCTAGGCAAAGATGT